ATGGATGGATGGATGGATAGATAGATAGATAGATAGATAGATAGATAGTCAGATTATAGATGGATGATGGATAGATAGTCAGATTATGGATGGATAGATGGATAGATAGATAGTCAGATTATAGATGGATGGATGGATGGATAGATAGTCAGATTATGGATAGATGGATAGATAGATAGTCAGATTATAGATAGATAGATAGATAGATAGATAGATAGATAGATTCATTTCTGAAGTCTTAGCTGTGTGTGTTTCCGACTCAGATCAAGCTGTCAGACTTTGGCTTCTGCGCTCAGATCAGTAAAGATATCCCGAGGAGGAAGTCTCTGGTGGGAACGCCGTACTGGATGGCCCCGGAGGTCATCTCCAAATCCCCGTATGGAACGGAGGTACAGCTGAACACCACAAAACAAACCAGCAGACGCCGCTGTGACTGTCAGATTAAACAAGGACTGCTGTGCTGAATCTGCAGGTGGATGTTTGGTCTCTGGGCATCATGCTGGTGGAGATGGTGGACGGAGAGCCTCCGTATTTCAGTGAGACGCCGGTGGCTGCCATGAAGCGTCTGAGAGACGAGCCGGCGCCCACCGTACGCAACGTTCATCAGGTACGAGGAAAACCTCCATTAATCACAGTGAGACACATGTACAGAATTACAGACAGTTAGACATTCTTACAAACATACACAAACATACAATCGTTTAATAAGACTGCATCTTCTGCATCAGTCTTTGAACTACATAATATATAAATAATATAAAATTAACCAAAACATTACTTTACAGCAGGCTAAACCTAATGTCATGAATACAAAAAGTCAATTAGTCAACAAATGAAATGGGTCAAATAATAAAATCAAACACATAAATAAAATAACACAAAATTAAATAATTGTCAAACCGATTTGAAGATATTTAGTTTGACATGCAATTATATGACATGAATAAATTAATAAGCCTGCATCTCAAAAGGTTTTGCCATACAAACAGTTTTTTAACTATATGAATACAAATATGATTAATAATAATAAAAAATTAACTAAACCATTGCTTTACAGTAAGCTAAACCTAGTATCATGAATATACAAAAGAAAACATGTGATAAATAATTAGTCAACCAGTTTAATCGGCCAAATAAAAAAAAATAAAATAAATAAAATAAAAATACAAAATAAAATAAAATAAAACAAAAAATCTGCATCTCAAATGTGTTTTTAAACTCAAAATAATCCTTTGTCTGTCATATGTGGAAGAAAAAAAAAATTTATTTGGACATTTTCTGAAGTGCAAAACTCACCAATATGATGCTAAAGTGTTGTGGGTGGATGCTCTGTGTAGATAAGATAAAATAATTAATAATATAAATAAACACCATATAAAATAAATAGTAATATAAAGAAGTCACATTGTGGACAAACTGATACAAACATGTTTGAACTGGTGTCCAAAAAATAAAAAAATAAAATAAAATAATAAACAACATACAAAATAATTAATAATATAAAGTCACATAATATGAAGTCACATTGTGGACAAACTGATACAAACATGATTGAACTGAAAAATGTCCGTGTTTTGGTTGTAACAAGGCATTTGCAGGTCGTTGATGTGTTATTTTGTCCCGTCTGTCCGCAGGTGTCCCCGGTGCTGAAGGACTTCCTGAAGCGCATGCTGACGCGGGATCCGCTGGAGCGGGCCAGTGCCACAGACCTCCTGGAGCACCCCTGCCTCCTGCAGGCCAGCTCTCCGCAGTGCCTGGTGCCCCTGGTGGAGCAGTACCGCAAGCGCATGTCCCGCTGCTGAAGCCTCCGCTTTTCTGGCCTGTCGGACTCACAAGCACCTCGTTCCCCGGAGCAATCACGACTGAGATGGCTGTTTTATGAGAAATGAACTCTATAAAGCCATTTTCTTCTACCTGAGGACGTCTCATTGGTGCTTAAAAGGCGGTGAATCAGAGCAGAAGTGCGTCTGACTGAAATGCCACTGGGTTTTATGTTCTGTTCGAAGCGTGTTATCGTGACTCACATCGAATCTGTGGCCGCAGAGACCTGGAACAAGCCTCATTCATCAGTTTCATGAATGCTTGTGTTCGTATATCGAATATTTTATAATGCTTTCATATAAGGATCTCACTTTTGGTTTTTACAGCTGCAAAAACTTTATTATCGTTAACAATTTACAATAAGGTTCTATTAGTTAACATGAGCTAACACTAAAAATTTATTTATTTATTATATAAAAAACGCATTTATTAATCTTAGATAATGTCAACTTCAACATTAACTAATACATTATTAAATTGAAAATGTATTTATTAACTATTAATATTAACAATGAACAGTTGTATTAACTGTTAACAATACTGTAATGTATTAAAATGCATTATGCATTGTAAAGCATCACCTTAATATTTATTATCTACAAACTGGAATTATATATTTCAATCGATTATATTAATTTAGTTGATGTGCATCAAAAGTTGTGTGTATATTGGCTAAATTTCAACAGCTTCAAATGTGGCTCGTCCAATCTGATTTGAATGGATTAAATTAAATTAAATTAAATTAAATTAAATTAAATT